CCTCGAATCACAGGGTCCAAAGCGAGCCGGTGACAGCGACTAAACCACTGCACCACAACCACTCTAAATTGCCTGACACCTGTGGCTGAGTAGCTAGCCCGTCGAAGTTTTTGACCTACCCTTGCCTTTTCTGTTCATTTCATCGAATAAGTTGGCCGGTGGTGTTGCGCTACAATAGATCCGATGTATCTTTCCTGCTGCGACACGGATTAGACGAAATTACTTTTCAAAGTCCACTGCGACAGTTATAGTCTACATGCTGTCTGCAATCTTCTTCCAGTATTGTTTACGGTCTCTCTTGGAGTGTGTGGTTTGGCGATGTAGAATACGAAATTCAGAAGAAAAGATCACCCGGGCACCTCTTGCCTTTGCGGACAACTGCAGTGTGCGCTTGGAGATCCGGTCGCTGTTGTGGCGAAAGGTTTTACACAACTACCTCAGAGCCGCTTCTCTGATGGGCGTTTACAGTGTGGACCACTGAGTCGTCAAGAGCAGTTGCGGCTATGTTGAAAGCGGTTGCCTTTTCTCAGGTCGTTCCAAGAGAGCGGCGTTAAATTTGCCTAGAGAACGAGTCCAGCGGTGAGGAATCAGGTAGATATTGAAGCGGTCGAGTACATGAGTATGGTCCGTGCCTTTCTTGTCTCCACTTTCTGCGCTGCGATAGGAACGGCAGTCTTCTATTGAAGAGGCACAGCAAGCATGTACCAAAAAGTAATCAATCTGATGTGCCACTCGACCGCCATTCGAGTATTGAGTAGTTTTCTGGGGGCGCTGGAAACGAGTGTTTGGCTACCACCAGTCGGTCAAGGCCAACAAATGTGACTAGGCATTGGCCATTTTCGCAACTTTGACACGGCCGAACTTCCCCAGAACATGCCGAGTATGCTTGCCTGATGGATCAGCGCGTGCTTTCTATTCACTGGCGATACGGAGAATATCGTGCCTCGAACTGCGGTTCATTGCGTCTTGAACTGGATTTTAACAGTTGTCTTTGGTGGGTGCTTTCGCATGTAACGTTGGAGCTGCGACAGTGATGACAGTCAGGTAGAACGGCTTACCGCCGAAGCGCTTTATGGCAATCCTGGAAAAGATTGGTTCCCAGGAGATCAAGACATTGTCGATCCGGTTGCTCACGGCGATTGATACTCCGTGCAAACCGGATTTGTCAGATAGTCCGCCAATGACATAACTGGTAGGTTGTATCGTTATGTGGTGCGTTGATTTGTTTTGTGCAACAGTTAGGCACTCAGATTTCGAATTGGCTGCAGAAGTCCACTATGTAGTCGTGAAGTGAACGCATTGCAATGCACTGGATTCCTATGTTTAGCCATGTCCCAACATCCCTCCAAGCTACATGGATCCGGTGTGCAGATGGTCTAGGTTCCCAGTTTTCTTATTTTTCATTTCTGTCACGCGGAGAGTGCAGGGCGCGTTGCTTCCCGGGAATGCCATAGAATGAACGTGATGTAACAGTGTAAGGCGAGCCATGGAGAAACTTGGGAATGATGTATTAAGTGACATCCTCAAGAGTTACAGAACTGTCCTTTGAAACTCCAAAAAGACAACGCCATCAGTGTATTGAAGGTTGTGCAGTTTTCCTTCAGTTACCCACCCATTAGCAACAATCTGTTGGCTACTTGGGGCGTTCTCCAGCACTCTATCTACGAAAAAATTGAATAGGAATCGCTAAATAAGGTACTCTTGAAGAACACTTGCCAGTTTCAAGGAGGATGCTTAGCACGAGGTGAGCTCTTACTCCTTCAGAAGTGTGGGATTAGTGTCTTTCTGGGACATTCCTTCAAGAAGAAACGGAAGAAAGTCTCACAGTCCACAGTCGAAAGCGCCTTTTGGATTAAGGAACACTGCGATCGTTGGTGGACTAACGAAAGGACTTGACGCAAAATGATTCGACCAATACAACTCCGCTCCCGTTAGGATGCTGCTCATAGCTCAGGAACATTCGTTTCGGGTAGCGAATTATTACATGCTAATAATTTGAAGACGTTCGGAATTAAGCCCATCCAATCGCGTTTGGCACAGCTGTAGCATGATCTCTGTTTAAGGATCACAAAATCCAACGAGGTGACCCAAGTGGTGGACAGCTGTCATAGTCCGGCTCTCCACCATCTATTGAAATCTTATGTGGTCCTCTACTCATGATGACCGGTTTCCTCC